ACACACCGACACCCACCCATACCTCACACCCACACCCACACCCACACACCCACACCCACACCCACACACCCACATCCACACCCACACACCGACACCCACCCATACCTCACACAATTCTTAGATTCGACTTTTTAAATAAAATGCTTCACAGAGCTCGTCCAGAAATATCTAAAAAGAATTTCTTGATTAAATATAAAATTGATACAAATGAACGACAACATAATGTCGTTGAGAAATAGAAGGCAATTGTTCTTTGCAACTGATCTATTACATCGAAGTTCAGAGATTTTGAAAAATTCTTTCTTTGATTATTCTTTCGTTATGTATACTGCGTCTTCTTCATAAATATATTTCTCTTAGATGAAGAGATTAATGGTGCAGCTATGATGGAATTGAGAGATGAAGACATTGAAAAATTATTATCTGAAAAACAACGAGACGGAACAATGAAAAAACCAACGATTGGAGCCAAGCGAATGTTTGAAGCGAAGCTGAAAGAATGGAAAAAGGCGAGCAAAACCATTCCAACTAGCCCACGCACACATGAACAGAAAAGGTCAGTTTCAGTTCTAGAATATCTTTTCATTTATAAAGACTGAAAAGGATATAGATGGTAAGAAAATCTACACTCATGCTGACACACTATTGTCCATTTATTTCATTGAACACAAAGAGCAACATGTTTCCAAGGATGGGGTGTGGGTGTGGGTGGCTGTGCGTGAGGGTTAGAGTGTGGGTGTGGGTGTTGGTGTGGGTGGGTGAGGGTGTGGGTGTGAATGTGTGCTGTGGATGTGTGGGTGTGGGTGTGTAGGTGTATGATAAGAAGATATCCACATCCACACGCACATCCACACCCACTCCGGCACCCACACCCACTCCGGCGCCCACACCCCACACCCACTCCCGCACCCACACCCACACCCACACCCACACACCCACACACCCACATACCCACACCCACACCCACACACCCACACCCACACCCACACACCCACACCCACACCCTCCCACACGCACGATTACTATTATTGATGATCATCATATGTCATTTGGATGATGTTTTTCACAATAAATTAGCTTTCTATGCCTAATACTCAAACACTAAACTAATTATTGTTTAATTTGAATATTAATCCTAATGTATCATTCCTAGATGCATCCGATAGATCTTATCTTTTTACCAAAAACTTCTCATTCATGAGAATATAAAACGATCGAGAGAAATTGAGATTTAAAATTATTCTGAGTTTATATGTGCATTTTGATGATGATCTTTTCACAAATCCTCTCTGAAATATTAAATCTAATTTATCATCAATAAAAGGAAAAAGTTTTTGTTCGTTCCGATGGTTTATTACATTTTTCATTGATCGTTTGGCTTTTGTGTGAATATGTTATTGGTTGACGAATTCAAACAAAGTGAGTTTGATACACATCAATAAAGAGATCATAAAGAAAGCAGTAATTTTTCTTCTGCATTGCTCGATGCCAAGTCAGTTTTGTGAATATTAGTATTGATTTATTTATGCTCTAGATATTAAACATGCTCTTCCTTTCGTTATTTACCTTCTTGTCTCTTTTTATTTTTTCTCAAAGCTGTACTGGGATTTCTTCCAAATTTAATTGGATCGCAACCAACCGTAATACGTTTAAGATAGACACCAATCAGCCGGTTCATTCCATCACCGTCCCTTCACATTCAACATTCTTTGTTCAAATTCCTGGCAATGCAACTACTGGTTATGAATGGACGCAAGTATCTCCAAGTAAACTTGAATCTGCTGATTCTGACTACATTGTGGATAAGCATCCTGCGGGTGCGCTTGGTGGTGGAGGTAAGTGAATGTGCATACATTATTCAGGAAAATTTTGTTTTTTTAATAATCAGTGACATCCATGTTATCTATATAACTCGTTCAATTACAGAATATTCTGTAATGTTTCAAAGTTAAATGTCTTACATTATAGGTTAGATCTTACAAAGTTTGTCTAATCGTCATTAGAAACGAAAATGGTTTAATTATATCTAGTATGATTAAATTTATAAAATTCTAATAGTACAACTCTATAGTGTGTATACAGCAGAACGAGCTATAACGGATGACATGGATGTTAACAATGTAAATGAAAGTAATCTAATGATAATGTTTATTTAGGATGCTGGATGTGGCAATTTTATACTGATAAAGCTGCTAATTACGCGATTTCATTCATCCATAAACGATCATGGGAAGACTCGGCTATTGAACGTGTTAAAGTTGAAGTAAAAGTTAAAGACCCATAAAAAAACGTAGAACATCATCAATGGCAGAAATAAAAAAAAGTACATCCTTCACCATTTATGTTTAGCGATTTACTACTCTTACGCATGGTATTCTTTTTTCCGTTTACTGTCATGTTCTACTTTTTATTTGATTATATTCCATAACAATAAATAAATAACTCTCTAGTGATGACGAAATACATCAATAAAACAATCATATACAGCTTGATTATCGTACAGCAGAGTGTGGGTGTGGGTGTTCATGTAAACGTGAGTGTGAGCGTGGGTCTTCTTCTCAGTGGCACCCACATTGCTCATCCACACCCCACACTCACACCCTTTTTGAATAGTGGTGTTCGTAGTCAGGGTTAATCGGTCATCCCATGTAAAAATACAGACTAAAAATTTGATTAAAATCGATTTTCAAAAAAAAGAAATAATCACTAAAAATTGATTAAAAGTATCAAATTTCTATTAAATTCGATGTAACATTTGATTATAATGAATTGTACTCAATAAAAATCGATTAATGAAGTAACTGTGCCATTTCATTTGAAACAATTTATATATCAGTTGCAATTATATTTTAGTTATCGGGCTTAGTTTAATGACAACTTTACGTTTAATAAACCCGAGCAATCAAGAAAATCATGAAAAATTAGAGTTCCATTTTCGAATTCCGAGAAAAGCAGTTATCTTTCATGTCTATGGTTAAAATCGTTTAACAATTAAAACATAGATCAGAATTAATTGTCAAGTAATAATAGAGTGAAAAAGATGGTAAAAATCGGACTTCAATCGATTTTGCCTGCCATTCTTTTTACATGGAATGTTACTAATACAGATGCCCGAGATCAAATTTTTTTTGTGGTCCCGAACATCTCTATTCTCGAGGCAGCAAAGATTTAGGAGTTCTCTTGCAACCTGAAATGTAACAATTTTTCAAGAAGCGAAAAATTCTTTTAGACTCATGAAAAACTCTCCTTTTTCTTGTATTTTTTTTGGAAAGAAAAAAAGTGTTATGGTAACTCTTAGAAATTTCGGCACCAAAAGTGGCCATGCTAGTCACGATTATTGAAAAATGAAGCTCTTCAGAAGAAAGACAGTAGTAAAATTGCCATTAAATTAGAAAAATCACAGATATTTTTTAGGCCGACTACGCTCACATGATACTTTTTCGTGAAGCCAAGAACTTTAGTATGTCTTCAGAATTTTCTAGTAAATACCATTGTTTGAGCCTGAATGTGAAGTAAAAACCCAGTTGATTTCTTAAACTTGCCACATAACTTCATGTTTTTCATCGACGTTCTAATGAAGGCTTCCGATTGCTCTCTCTGTTTGAAATATTCCTGAGATATATTAGCAAAAATATTCCAAAGAACTACTTTAAAAATCCTAAAAAAAAAACTTTATTAGAAAGCGATGGAATAAAATTTTACTGAAAAGTCAAGAAAAAAACTAGCTAATTTGATAAATTGATAAAGTTTTATAGAAATGTAAATACGTTTTATGTTTTATTTCAATCATCGTCATCATTTGGTTGTGGTACACGTTCAAGTGGATGTTCATGTCCTTTCTTTTCGCATGCCGAACATAGATCATAATTACCACATGTTAAACAACAATATCTTTGACCAATAAGAGGACTCATGTTGCATCCATCACATCGAACATGTGACCATTGATATTCATCAGGCGAAGGCGATGGTAATTTTTCTCCTCGTGCCCATGTTTTGAGTGCTTCGATTCCTTTAGATGAAACATCACTACGACCACGACTTGATAAAACTGTTCCATCTGATGAAAGAATGAATAACGATGGAATACCTTTACACAAAAGAATTATAATTATTGTCTAAAATCAATAAGTTAAAAAATATATTTACCAGAAAATCGAAAATATGACTTAAGAAGATCACCTGCATGCAATGGAACAGCAGGCCAAGGCATTTCTGAATGATAATTTTTGAATGATTCTTCATCTCGATCACATGATATAAAAACTATACGAAAACCATGAGACGTTGCTTGTATTTCTTTATAAAGTTCTGCCAATATCGGTGTAAAACCACGACAAGGTGGACACCAATGAGCAGAAAAATAAAATCCAACACTTTTAACATCATTTTCCCATAATGTTTTTGTTTCAATTTTTTCATCACTATTTGGATTGAGTAAATAAGGAACTGATTTAAATAATTTTTCTAATGGATAAGTTTTCTTAGGTATGAGATATTCAACAAGAGAATGTTCATGTTTATTATTTGGTAAACATGTTTCACATAAATCAAATCTACATCCTTTTTGTGTGCAACCATGATGTGAACCAATCAAAGGATTCATATAACAAAGATTACAAGTAACATCTTTCCAAACAAATTCACCTTCACGGGCTTCACGTGACCAAAATAAACGTTTTCCTTGTGACCATGCTTCCAAAGCTTTATTGGATGCAGCATGTACTTCTTCGACACCATCCGAAGTTATTTTCTCACATGTAGGAGAAAGAACAACTAAAGTTGGAATACCTTCAATATTAAAATTTTTACCCAATTAGATTGAACGATCTCGATCTAAATATATTTTTGTGAAATACAAAACAAAGTTTTTGAAATCGATGAAAATTTTGCATTAGACATAACTTAAGAATATCTTCGAAAAAAAAAACTAACAGACGCGAATTATTAACTCTTTGGCTCCCGGCAACGCATATATGCGTCCGAATGCGTTTATCGAATAAAGGCGTAAGTAGTATATTTTTTAGCCGTTTTAAAAAGTTTTTCATTATTCATTAGGTGTTGTCATACGAGTGTATTTTTTTTGTTTCTTTTCTGCTTGATACTTATAAATGACCAAATACAGAATGATATTTTATTCCATTTATTTGATTTTTGACTTGGTATCATCAGAAAAGTTTTAA